ATCCTAGCCAGGGACTGAGCCAGGCTCATGCCTGGGATCCACGGGGAAGGCTGCTGGGCCACATCCGTGCCCTGTGCCCAGCTCCCCGTGCCCGGGGTGTCTCCGCAGGCAGCAGGACCTGTTCCGGGTGCTGAAGGCGTACACGCTGTACCGCCCGGAGGAGGGATATTGCCAGGCCCAGGCGCCCATCGCCGCCGTCCTGCTCATGCACATGCCGGCCGAGGTACGGGCACACGGCCGGGGCAGAGCTGGGGCCGCCGGGAGGGGGGGGTCCCTCTGGGGGTGCTCAGCTCCTGGCACCTCAAAGCACCCCGGGGTGCTCTGCCTCCTCCCGCCCTCCCCTGCGGTCTCTGGGAGCAGGGAGGGGCCGCAGGGATGTCCCCTGGCTGCTCACTGCTGTCCCTTGGCTTGCAGCAAGCGTTCTGGTGCCTGGTGCAGATCTGTGAGAAGTACCTCCCTGGCTACTACAGTGAGAAGCTGGTAAGTAAAGGGCTCATGGTGCCTTTGGCAGCGGCAGGGACCTGCAGAGTGCTGCACCGGGTTTGGAACAATCCCTGGTATCCACACAGTCTGCGGGATGAAGGGAAGGAGAGCAGCCCTGGGGAGAAGGATTTTGGGGTGCTGGTGGGTGAGAGGCTGGACATGCCCCTCAGGTGAGACCCCACTGCAGAGCTACCTCCAGCCCTGGGGAACAGCACAGGGAGGACGTGGAGCTGCTGGAGACAGCCCAGAGGAGGCCCCGGAGATGCTGCCAGGGCTGGAGCCCCTCTGCTCTGGAGCCAGGCTGGGAGAGCTGGGGGGGTCACCTGGAGAAGAGAAGGCTCCAGGGAGAGCTGAGAGCCCCTTTTGGGGCCTAAAGGGGCTCCAGGAGAGCTGGAGAGGGACTGGGGACAAGGGATGGAGGGACAGGACAAAGGGGAGTGGCTTCCCACTGCCAGAGGGCAGGGATAGATGGGAGATTGGGAAGGAATTCCTGGCTGTGAGGGTGGTGAGGCCCTGGCACAGGTTGCCCAGAGAAGCTGTGGCTGCCCCTGAATCCCTGGCAGTGTCCCAGGCCAGTTTGGACGGGGCTTGGAGCAACCTGGGCTAGTGGAAGGTGTCCCTGCCCATGGCAGGGGGTGGGATGAGATGAACTTTAAGGTCCTTCCCAACCCAAACCATTCTGGGATTCTATGTCTCCAGGCCAAAAGCTCACTCAGCTTCTCATCCTGGAGAAAGAAAAAATCTGGGAAGTTGCTGGGTATTCCCAGTCTCTGTGTTGTGCTGTGGCCTCAGAGGTATCCCACAGTCAGGGATGGGGGGGCTCAGTGGGACACAGCTCTGCTCCCTTAGCCAGGTGTGGAGGGTGGGCTGACACTCCGGGCCGGGCACTGTGGGCTGATCTCGGGACCGAGGCACTCACTGGGATGCTGGTCCCTGTTCTTGCAGGAAGCCATCCAGCTGGATGGGCAGATCCTCTTCTCACTGCTGCACAAGGTCTCACCTGTGGCCTACAAGCACCTGAGCAAGCAGAAGATCGACCCCATCCTGTACATGACGGAGTGGTTCATGTGCGCCTTCTCCCGCACGCTGCCCTGGAGCTCTGTCCTGCGCGTCTGGGACATGTTCTTCTGTGAAGGTAGGAGTTCCCACCATCCTCCTCTTCCTCTGGGATGACCCCACGGCACATGGGACCTGTAGTAGGGCAGGTTTGAGGCAGCCACGTGCCTAGGGTGGAGATGGGCTGTTTTCCTGGGGATTAGGGGCACATGCATCCCAAATCCACCCTTTTGTGTGTCTTGTTAGTGAGGCTGGTGCCCCACAGCATTTGAAGGACATGGTGGCAGAGTCACCCTGTCCTGTCTGGCACTCACTGCCTCACATCTGCTCTTGCAGGGGTGAAGATCATCTTCCGGGTGGGCCTGGTGCTGCTCAAACACACACTGGGCTCCTCAGACAAGCTCAAGTCCTGCCAGGGCCAGTACGAGACCATGGAGAGGCTGAGGGCCCTCAGCCCCAAAATCATGCAGGAGGCCTTCCTGGTGCAGGAGGTGAGGTGCTGGGGAAGGTCAAGGGGCCCAGTGCCGCCCAGTTGGCCAACGCTGCCAAACTGGGCTGCCCCTGGGTGGGCAGATGGGGCATAGCATGGGGGCAGCCCCCCGAAAGCTTTTTGGTTTAGGGCTTGCCTCTCACTGGGTGGGATCCCACACGCAGCCCTGGTGGCCCTGTCGCTGCCAAGGGAGATGCTGATGGCACAAGTGTCCCTGCAGGTCATCGAGCTGCCGGTGACAGAGCGTCAGATCGAGCGGGAGCACCTGATCCAGCTGAAGAAGTGGCGGGAGACGCACGGGGAGCTGCAGTGCAAGTCCCCCCCGCGCCTGCACGGCGCCAAGGCCATCAGCGAGGCCGAGCCCGCGCCCCGCAAGGCGCTGGAGCCCGTGCCCTCCATCATCGTCCCCCCTGGGCCCGCCCCCGTGCCCAAGGCCCGCAAGAGCAAGGAGAAGAGCCGGGAAAAGACCCCGGCCAGCCCTGCCAACGGCCCCGGGGCTGAAGGCAACGGGGCGCCCGGCACGACCCGGGAGCTGCTGCACCCCCAGGTCTCCCCCCACCACCAGTCCAAGGAGAGCCTGAGCTCCCGGGAGAGCGAGGACACGTACTTGTAGGGCCCTGCCCGCACCCCGGGCAGCCGGGCTCAGCGGGGCTGCGCACGGACCCGGGCACCAGGACACTGGGGGACACCCCTGGCACACAGCGCTGGGGGCTCTGAGCTGGAGGGATGGGACAGGGGGGCTGGTATGACTCCGTGGGGTGTCCACAGGAGCTTGGCCAGGTGTGGTGACCAAAGGGGACACCGTGGGTCTGCGCTGGGTGCCCACCCCGCAGGGTGCTGGCACCACGAGCGGTGGGAGCCCGGGCAGGGGGTGGCTGAGCCACCTGAGCTCCCTCCCCACACTGGGGGGCTGAGCTGCCCCTCAGGCCCTTCTCCCCGTCCCAGAGCCCCTCAACCCATCACTCCCCGGGTCCCTCCTGTAGCCCCCACCCTGTACCAGCCAGGCAGCCCCAGCCCCAGTTCCCAAGCACTTAGGCCTGGCACAGGGCACTGGGGGTATGCGAGGAGCCGAGGGGACCCCTCGCCCCCCCTCTTTATCTAGTGAGGATATATCAAGCTGTAGCCCTATATGTAGTACCCAATTTACCTACTCACTGAGCCTATTTATTATTCCTCCGAGGCAGGACAGGGACCGAGGCAGGATGCGCTGGAGGCAGCAGGATTTGATGCCAGTCACAGGGCTAAAGCCCCCCCACCCCGATGCCCGGGCTCCCCATGGCTCGGGGGGAGCGTTCACCCTGCCAGGGCTCACCCCACCACTGCCACCCCCCCCAGGCCCCAGCGCAGGTGTGACGGGGTGGGTGAGCAGCGGCCAGGTGATCCCTGGCTGTGGGGTCCCCTCTGCCCCCCGTGCCCTCCCCAGGGCCGGGGGTGGCTTTGTATCATAAGCGGGAAAAGCAGTTTTGTACAAAGGGGTCAATAAAGCAAGTGTGTAAAGGCGCAGCCCCAGCTCCCACCCTCTCTCAGCCTGGGATGGGGGTCAAGGGGTGGAGATAGGAGTGGCACCTCCCACTCACTTCTGTGCCAATACCAGCTTTGGGAAGGCACCTACCCTGGATTCATCTCTGAGTGCTCCAGCCCTGGGGTGGGGAGCACCCTGCCCTGGGCCCCACCTCCCCTGTGTCCCCTAGTCCTGGGGGGCACCCTGGCCTGCACCCCATTTCCCCTGGACACCTGACCGTGCCCTGAACCCATCTCCCCTGGGTGTTCCAGCCCTGGGGGCACCGTGCCCCAGACCCTCTCCCCTGGGTGCTCCAGCCCCACGAATCAGGTGCTGGAGAGGGTCCTGGGAGGGGCCCTGCTGCCATCACCCTGTGTCACCGCTGTGTCACCACAGAGGGTGACCCAGCCCTGCTACCCCACCCAGCCCTGGGGCTACCCGTTTGAAGTGGGATGGGAGGAGGCTGAGACCTGCCCCAGCTTGTGACAGTGGTGGATGCCGAGTTCCTCGAGCGATGCCATGGAGTGCACACTCCCTTCGCAGCACCCAGACCTTTCCACCTCTCCCACAGACACAACTCCTATGGTGGAACAGAGCCAGAAGACCCCCTAATTTGTCCTGTGACACCCCAGAGCTCAGCTCCCCACATCCCAAACGGTGCCCAGGCCCTCTCTCTTGCTCCTGCTTTATGCTGGCAGGAATTCTGTCCAAGCCTCCATTCCTCCCTCCAGAACCCCCTTTCCCCGGGGGGTGGCTCTGTTTCAGGGTGCTGGGTGCCCCCCTGGTCCTGCACACTGCCCTGGGGTGAACCCTTGATCAAGGCTGGTGGTCGGGGCTGAGTGTGGAGGGGCTGGCTGGGTGCTGGGGTGGGGGGTACGGTGGGATTGGCAGTGGAGTTGGCATCAGGCTCCCAGTGGGTCCAGTCCCAGCCTGACAGGGTTGGGCTGGAGGTGAGGGAGCTGGATCGGGTTGGGCCCCCTGAGACGTGGGTGAGTCCTTGTTTGGGTACCGCAGGGTGTTGTACTGGGGCTGGTTTGGGCACTCCAGGGGCTAGCGGGGCCACCGCAGGACTCCAGGTTTGAGCTGCTCCAGGCACCCCAGGCTCCCAGTTGGCTCATCTGGGCACCTCGGGAATGCTGAATTTCGTCTGGTTTGGGCACTCAGGCTCGGGGTCGGCACCCGGTACAGATACCCCGGGTCTCTATTGCGGAGCTGCTCCGGGCACCTCGGGGCACTGAATCTGGGCTCGTTTGGACACCACAGAGTTCTGTATCGGGGCTGGTCCTGGGGCTCCGGTGCCGGGTAGTTGCCCCTCTGGGGGTGCGGAGGGTTGTCTCTGGGCGGTCCCGGGGCGGTCCCGGGGCGGTCCCGGGCGGAGCGGAGCAGTCCCGGGGCGGTCCCGGAGAGGTGCTGGGCGGTCCCAAGGCGGTCCCGGGCGGAGCGGGGCGGTCCCCAGGCGGTCCCGTGCCCGCCCTTATAGCAGCGTCGGCAGCGGATCCCCGTGCGGCGCGGCCGCCATGGACCTGCACATCCTGGAGCACCGGGTGCGGGTGCTGAGCCTGGCCCGCCGCGGGCTCTGGCTCTACACACACCCGCTGCTCAAGCTGCTCTTCCTGCCCCAGCGCTGCCGGTACCGGCCTTCCTCCCTCCTCCCCCAATGCCCGGCCTCGGGAGGCGGCGGCGGTTTTGGGATCACCGATTTCTTCTTCTTCAGATGCAAGTTCTTCAGCCTGACGGAGACCCCCGAGGACTACACGGTCATGCTGGACGAGGAGGGCTTCAAAGGTACCGCGCGGTGGGCTCGGCGTCCCCCGCAGGGTGGGCTGGCACTGCGGGCACGAGCTGGGCACGTTCTCAGCCCCACTCCTCGCCTGGGCCGCGGGGAGCGAGTCCCGGCTTGTAGCTCGGCTCCCTCGGGACGTGCCCGTCCCGTTCCCTCGGCGCCTGCGCCGGGGATGTACCGGCTTGCCCGGCCGGGGCTCTCCCGGCGTGGCTGCCCTCGCCCCGGCGGCCCTTCCCGGGCACAGCCGCGTCCCCACCAGCTCATGGGACCAGGCTGTGACACGGTGGGGATGGTCTGCGGAGAGCCCGGTGCTAGCCCAAAGCTCAGGTGCTCCAGGCAGGGAACAGGGACCACCCGGGATGCCCACAGGCAGCGCTCCAGGCTCTGCCAGCCCTCCTGCCATCATTCCTATGGCCACTTTCATCTGCTCGGTGAGGACCAGCTGGTGCTTTAGCAGAGCAGGCCAAATCCTTGCCCAGCCAGACTGGCAGGGGTGAGCCCTTCCCGGCTGCAGGGACCAGACTTTGAGGCCTCCAGAGGAGGTTTGATCCCTTCCAAGCCAGTCCCCCTCCCCGGGAGGTGCCATTTGGTGATGTCCCCACCGCTGGTGACCCAGCCGTGCATCACCTTCACCGCCCACCCTGCTGGGGGTACCGGCCCAACAGGCTGGGCTGGACGGTCCGGATCCGGCCCAGCTTCCCACGCCCAAACCTTCCTGCTGGGGCCGCAGGAACCGGCCACAGTGTCCCTTGGCTGTGCCCCAAGGAGGAAGGGTCAGTGCTCCGGCCTCAGGCACTCCCAGACGAGTCCTGCTCCCAGCTCCCTCTGCTCCGGGACGGGACCGTGGCCCGGGCTCTCCCCACTCCCAGAGCCAGAGCTCTTCCCCACGTATTGTTTTATTTCGGGGCCTGCGGACAAATATTCCTCAATCCTGAGGGGAGGGCGGGAAGTGCCGAACAATGGTCCTGTGAGCCAGCGGCCCCACTGCGCCCTGTGCACCCCCCACGGCTGGGGGGCCGCCAGGGTACCCCTGCTCTGGGGCTGGAGGGGACCCCCAGCAGAGAAGGGCTGCACTCCCTCTTCCCCTGGGGATCAGGACTGAGCCCTGGGGTGGTGACAGGGGCCAGGGAGATGCCCTCGCACTCAGCCTCGCCCCGGGTGGTGTTGAAAAGCAATTAAGCGCTGAGTGCTGGGACAGGTCCCCACGTTCCTGTGGCCGTGTCCCCCCGCCTTTTCCCCAGCACTGGGCCCTGGGCCGGAGCCGAGACTGTTCTGGCTCTTCCTGCACAGGAACAGGCGCTGGGAACACCCGCCGAGGCCCTGGATCCGGCCCCGCTCCCGCCCTGCCCCGAGCCACGCTTTGGGAATGGGATGCGGAGCCTGCCCTGTGATGGGATCCCTGCCACGGGTGTCGGACCCTCCTGGCGTGACCTCCCCTCTGACACTGCTGTGATGAGTTTGAGGTCTCAGCTGGGCTGGGGCTCTGGGTGCCCACCGAAGGCCTGGGGGCTTGAGTGGTCTCCTGTGGGAGCTGCTTCCCACCTCCACCAGGCAGGGGGAGCGGATTGGAGACCCTTTGGGTGCCCACTCCCTCTCCCTTCCTGGGAAGGGGTGCCCAGGGAGGAGCAGCTGCCTGGCTGATTTCTGGGGTCTCCCAGCAGTGCCAGCCCCTCTCCTGGGCAGGAGGGTGGGAGCAAGGGGGAGTGGGAGGCAGAAAGAGGGTTCTTGAGGCAGGAAGGGAGCAGCTGGCACGTGCCCACCCTGCCAATACCAGCAGATTTTTGGGAAGCAGTCCTTGGCCCTGCCAGCCTGGGCTCTTCCCTCCCTACCAGACTGGCACCAGGTGCTGGCATCACCAGAACAGCAGGGTTACTCTCCCCTTTTCCCCTCTGGTACCCACCACAACTCTCTTTGAGCATCCCTGGTGCTGGATGCTGGACTGGGGGCTCCTGGGCGGCAGGGGATGAGCTGGGCAACTCCAGGGCCCTGGTGGTGCCAGTTTAGGGGTGCAGTGCACCCCAACACCCCTTTTCACCCAACCCAGGGTGCTGCTGTGGGGAGGAGAAACACATCCTGGGGTTTGGGGGGGTTGTAGCCTTGAACCCCCTCATCCCTGTGACTGTCCCAGTGTGGAGTGGCTGAGCCCTGACTCGGGATGGGGCTGGTCTGTGTCCCCAAACCAGTGACCCCACACCTGGGACTGGTCCCATCCTGGCTCCACTCATCTCCCAAGGGACAGTGTGACAGCAGTGCTTGAGCCAGCACTGACTCTGTGGCACAGACAGTGTCCGGCCGTGCTGAGCCCCGGGGAGCCACCTGCCTCAGTGTCCCTTGTCCCTCGCAGAGCTGCCGCCCTCCGAGTTCATGCAGGTGGCAGATTCCACATGGCTGGTGCTCAGTGTTGTCTCCAACGGGCGGGAACCCCCCGGCTGCCAGGCCACCGGTGTCACCAAGATCGCGCGCTCGGTCATCGCGCCGCTGGCCGAGCACCACGTCTCGGTGCTGATGCTCTCCACGTACCAGACTGACTTCATCCTGGTGAGGGACAGGGACCATGGCACCTGGTCCCCCCGGGGTGCTGGCTGTCCTGAGGACCCCGCTGTGCCTGTGGGGAGGGGGGCAGTCCGGGCCCTGATCCTGTGCCCCCGGGCAGGTGCGGGAGCCGGACCTGCCGGTGGTGATCCACACGCTGGCGGGGGAGTTCGACATCTACAGGGAGGAGAGCGGCGAGTGTGTCCCTGTCACCTGCGAGGACGTGAGCAATGGCTTCCTCAAACCCAAGCCAGGTGAGTGACACTGGGCTCATGTCCCCTGGGGCCACCTGGTCCCTGCCCAGATGCTCTCCTACCCATATCCTTGAGGGATGCTCAGGGCCACCCTGTCCCTGGGCCACCCACTGAGATGCTCCAGTGCCCACTGGAGGTACCCACCTCCTTGGGGCACACCCAGGGCCACTCTGTCCCCAGAGCCACCCTGTCCCAGGGCCATCCAGTCACTGCCAAGATGCTGCCCCTCCCACCAGTAGTACCCACATCTTTAGGGGACCTCCAGGCCACCTGTCCCCAGGACCACCCAGTCCCTGCTGAGGTGCTCCAGCTCCCACCAGTGGCACCTGCATATCTGGGGGACCTCCAGGGCTACCCTGTCCCTCAGGGCCACCTAGTCCTCGCCAAGATGCTCCAGCTCCCACTGGAGGTACCCACATCCTTGGGGGCTTCCCAGGCCACCTGAACCCCATCAAGGTACTCCAGCTCCCACCAGTAGTACTTGTATCTTTGTGGGACCCCCAGGTCACCCAGTCCCCAATGTCACTTGGTCCCTGCCAAGGTGCTCCAGCTCCCACTGCTGGTTCCCACATCCGTAGGAGACCCGCAGGGCCACTCAGTCCCCATGGAGATGCTGCAGCTCTAACTGGTGATACCCACAACCTTAGGGACCCAGGGCCACCCCTCTGCTCCCCGAGGGACTCCACGTGGGTGTGGTGGCCACGGGGTGGCACTGTGGGACTGTCCCCGGTGGGCTGACACATGACCGTTCCCCTACCAGCCACCAGCCCCACTCTGCACCCGGTGCAGAGCCCCCAGACCCGCTTCTGTGTCCTGACGGTGGCCCCCGACACGCTGCCCGCCATCGCCACCATGCTCATCGACGTCCTCTTCTACTCCCACAGGTGGGTCCTGGGGAAGGGGACGTGGGGGTGGCCCCTTGCCCAGTGCCACCTGAACTGTGGTGACACGTCCCACCTGTCGCTCCTGGTGGGTTTTCGGGCTCTGGGTGTGTTTTCCAAACTGGTTTTGCCCTCCCAGGGGCTGCAGTCGTCTGGGTGCTTGGGGGTCCTGCTGCCACCACGGGGGGTGGGAGCCCCGAGATGACACAGGGGACAAACCCACCATTGCTGTGAAGCAGGAGGGAGTGGGTTTGGAAGGTCAGTGGGAATGGTGCTGGGGCGAGGGGATGCTTTGTGATGGGGTCCTTTCTGGTGGCACTCAACTGCTCCAGAGTCACTGTGGCCTTTCAGGAATGCCCCAAAACCTGGTGTCACCTTGTCCTGACTCATCCAGCACCTGCAAGCTGCAGACCCTGCAGGGAGCACCTGCTCCTGTCCCCTCTCCTCTCACCCTGCAGCATCCTAACATGATACTCAAACACCCAGTGCCAGCACAAAGCCCTTCTCCTCCCCATTTCAGGGGTTGTGACCCCTCCCTGTGCCTCTCCCCCTCTGCAGCCCCCCACGGGAGGCAGGTGCCGGCAGCCAGGACCTCGACTCCATCACCTTCTTCTCCTTCTCCCTCATCGAGGGCTACATCTCCATCGTGATGGATGCTGAGACCCAGAAGCGGTGGGTGCTGTCCCTGGGCTGTCTATCCCTCTGTCCCTGGGTCTGGGGGCTCAGGGATGGGGGGTGACACACAGCCCCTCCTTTCTCAGGTTCCCCAGTGACCTGCTGCTGACCAGCTCCACGGGGGAGCTGTGGCGGATGGTGCGGATCGGGGGGCAGCCCCTCGGCTTCGGTGAGTGTGGCCATGGTGGCCGTGTCCCCTCTTGTGCCACCAGGGGCACTGCTGTCCCTGTATGTCCCCATGGCAGTGACCTGGGACCCCCTTTGATCCCCTAGATGAGTGTGGCATCGTGGCACAGATTGCAGAGCCGTTGGCAGCTGCCGACATCTCGGCCTATTACATCAGCACCTTCAACTTCGACCACGCCCTGGTGAGCCCCTGCCCCTCCCTGGGGACCCCCCACCAGCCCCGGGGTGTCCCCTGGGGCTGACACCCCCTGCGTCCCCCCGGCAGGTCCCCGAGGAGGGCATCGCCGAGGTCATCCAGCTGCTGCAGCAGCGGCAGGACAGCGGCAGATAACAGCTGTCCCCAGGCCGAGTGGCCCAGTGCGGTGGCACGGGAGGGGAGGGGGGTCCTCCCTCCTCCCCACCCCCTGCCACACCCATATTTGTTATTTTTCAATTTTAAGGCTCCCCCGGTGCAGGGCAGAGTCAGGTGCAGTGTCACTCCCTGCGTGCTGGGGATGTGGTGGCTTTGGGGACGTGGTGGCCTTGTGGCAGTGGGACAGTGTCCTGCAGGAGTGGGGTTAGTCCCCACGTGCCATCCTCTGCCTCCAACCCTGCCTGTGTGGGGTGGGGGGGGCTCAGGGGGAGAGTGGTTGTCCCCAGGGTCCTGCTGGTGGAGGGGACACAAGAGGGCAGTGATGTGCCACCGCAGTGCTGAAGGGGACAGCCTGGGGCTGTGGGGACGTGTCCCCGTGCCCTGTGTGTCCCAAGTGGATGGGTGCCTCTGGACCAGCCCCGTGGAGGGGTGAAGGCATCACAGCTCTGGGGATGCCCCTGGCACCCCAAAAATCTCCAAGGTGGCAGAGGGGGGGCTGTGGTTCACCCCCAGCCCTGGATGTCACCTGTCATGAAGGGGTGACAGTGACCCCTCCAGCTCCTCCCAAGTTGTATTTTCACATAGTTTTTCATAAGTCAATAAAATTTCTATTATTTTTATTTCTGTGTAGCCCTAGGGGGGTGTCCCAGAGCTGGTCTGTGTGGAGGTGACAGGAGCTGGGATGGGACAGGGGGACATGGCCTTCCTGTACCCCACTGAGGTGACTGGGATGTGATCAGCTCCCCTACCACATATTTTGGGTGAAAAAAAGGGTGAAGGCTGCAGCCCCCAGCTAATCAGTGGCCCTGGGGAAACTGTGGGGCCCACCCCACATTCCTGCCCTCCCCCTGCTCCAGACTGGGTCCAACTGGGGGAAACTGAGGCATGAACTTGACCTCAGGCCTGGAGGTGTCACTGTCATGCCATCCCTGTGTCCCCATGTCCTCCTGCCTTGCTGGCAGCACAGCACCCTGTGGCAAAATGGGGTGCACAGGGTTGGGGCTGTGCCCTCCTGCTGCTGGGTGCCCCCCCCAGCCCAGTGTGCCTGGTCATGAAGCAAGACCCAGCACGAGCATGGTGGAAACCTCTTCCCCCGGGCTCTGCTCCCATCCTGTGCCCAAAATCCGTTCCCCGCTCTCCCATGTTCTGAGCAGGACTGTGCCCGGGCCCTGACACGTCCTGCCCACGTCAGCCCCACACACTTCCAGCCACCAGCTTCCTGCCCCCTCTCTCTTTCCTGTCTCGCTCCCTTCTCCGAGTCATGGGACGCTGCTGACGTGTGCCCGGGAGATGAAGAAATTGCCGCCGGCCCATGCGGTCACTGGCACTATTTTTGTCCCCGTTGGGTGTTGCACAGTCCTGTGCAAGAGCGATGGCCACCACTGTGGTGTCCTGCCAGTCCAGCCGGGGGTGATGGTGCCAGGACCACCTGTGGCTGTGGGGCAGCTGAGGGGGTGGGTGCTCAGCCCTTGTGGTCCTGATCGCCTGGGCAGGGTGTCCGGGGGTCCTGCCATGGCAGGGAACATGGGAGAGCCTGTGAGGTCAGAGAGGGAGGGATGGGAGGCAGAGATGTTCCTCTGGGTGAATGGATGGGCAGATGGAGGGATGGACTGATAGATATATGAATGGGCAGATGGATGGATGGGCAGGTGTATGGATGAGTGGCTGGCTGGATGTATGGATGGTTGGTTCATCATATGGAAGATGAATATACACGTTAATGGATAAGTGAAGAACAGGTGGAGGATTTTATGGGTAGGTGGAGAAGCAGGTGGATGGATGTGTGCACAGATAGATGGGTGGATCTATGGATGGATGGATGATTCAGGTGGAGGGTAGGTGGATGTGTAGACTGCTGGCTAACAGCCTGTCTAGGCAGACTGAGGGATGGACACACTACTTCAAACAGAGTGAGCAGGATGCCCCAGGTACAGCCCTACCTGCCCCTGCAGCTGTCACCTCTGCCAGGGGATGCCCCGAGGAGGAGGAGGAGGAGGAGGAGGAGGGGGAAGCCCCTGGTGGAGGAAGCAGCCCCTTCAGGCCATGGGGGAAATTTTGGGAAAAGAAAACACTTCTTCTGGAAGTGAGTCACTGCCGTGTTCTTCCCCCTGGAAGGAGATGTTGTTTCTGGGTTGTTTCTTTGCCGTCACCAAACCTTCCAAATGTGTAAATTCAGTGCAGGGCGGCTCCAAGGGTCACCAAAACCAACGGGATTGCGACACACCTGGAAATGCTGATCAACGAGATTCCTTTTGATGAGGCGGGAAAAGCCCCTGTCAGTGCTGGGCTCCGTCTGCTGGGAAAGGGGAGCTGAGGGGACAAGGGGACTCGCCCTGGGTGCTGCCGGTGGTGCCGAGGCCGTGTCGATCCCAGGGCAGTGCCAGGGGCCGTGTGAGCCGGGCTCCCCCGGGCAGTGTTGCACAAGCCCGAGGGCAGCGCTGCCCGACTCGGCTTCCGCTGCCCTGGGCCCTGTGCCTTGGGTAACACCCAGTGGGTCCCCACTCAGCATTCCCGTGGGTGCTGCCGGGCACGGGGCCTGAGCCCGGTGTCCCCAGCCTGATCAGCACCCAAGTTTGTCACCCTGAGGGGTGGGTGGCTGTGAGCAGGTGGATGGAGCGTTCTCTGGAGCATCGCTGAGCGCACAGGCCCCAGCCATGCCCGGATGCCCCATATGTCCTGTGCTTCCACCTCCCTTCTTCCCAGGACAGATTTTTGGCTCCCACAGTTGGATTTGGGATGTGAAAGCCCCTGTGGTGGCACATGGCTGACATCCCTGTCCCTGGTGCCCCTGCCCTCTTTTGCATTGGGGTTTCGGGGCAGACAGGGCTGGTTTCAGTTCAACCCTTTGGGTACCGAGCGGTGACATCAGGGTGACTCAAAACGCCCCTTTTCCAAGAAACCAGGACACCGGGGCCCAGCAGCGCCACATCTGGGATGAGCAATGGGACTGCAGACTCCCAGGCTGGACCCACCAGGACTCCCTCGAGGAACTGACTCGAAGAACATCCCATTGCCCGCCCGGCATCATTTCCTCCCGCCGGGCGCTCACCCCGCTCATTGGCCCCCAGGGCACGGCTTTACTTCTCACTGCCTTTCCGTTGGGTCCCTGGGCGGTGGGGGCCACGGGCTGCGCTTTAAAAGCCGAGCTTCCCCCTCCCCGAGCAGTTAAGGAAGTCGCTCTCGCCGGCGAAACTCCCGCCCCGGCCATGCGGTGTGACCGGCGGCCCTGGGGCGTGCTGGCAGGTAGGTGTGTGCCCGTGTGCCACAGCCGCCCCCTTGCTCGTGCCTGGCTGTGCCAACCCGGCTGGGGGCCGCGGGAGGGAGCGCGGAGTGGGGCCCGCTGGCGGTCGGCTTGCTGTGGCAGATGGCACCGAGGCTGTGCCGTGGCAGTGTCACCTCCCGCGGGCGCTGGCGGGGGACGGGGACATTCCCCGCTGTGGCACATGGGGATGAGCAACCTGGGGAAGAGGGGATGCTGGCAGGGGACATGTTTGGGGGCAGTTTGGGGACCGATGGCAGAGGGTCAGGAGTCAGTTTGCCCAAAACCTTCAACCCTCCCAGCGCAGCAGGGACAGATGCTGTGTGCCAGCCCAGCGCCATACCCAAAGTCACCACTGGCACGTGGCCATGGGTGACAGTGGGACTGAGACAGTGACTGGCCAGAGCAGGGGGGCTGGATCCAGAGTGTCACTGCTGTCCCCTCTGTTGTGGTGGTTCACACTGGCAGGGGCAGCTGCTGGAGTAGCTGCTGTGGTTGGGCTGCACATCCTGTCTGCTCCACGGCACCTCCACCATCCTCATCCTCCTCCCCGCTGGGCCTCCAGCAGATTTTTGGTGCAAGGGTTGGGTCATCCCTGTAGCAGGGACGGGATGTCAGTGCATGCACCTGGCATGAAGCATTGTTGCCTCCAGGCCTGGTGCCAGGTGATGGGCACAGGGGCCAAGCTGTCTCTGTGGCACCGGGGGACAGTGAGCTCGTGCCTCTCTGGTGCAGAGAGGGGGCTGCAACCCTGCTCCCAGTGATGCCCCAGTGACCCCCATCTGCCTCCTCTTCCTCCCCAGCTGTTACTAAAGGGCTCCTCATCCTCTGGGTGGTGCCAGGACAGGGAGGGCGGCCCCTGAAAGCCCCCACCGTGCAGCAGACCCAGGCACTGGTGAAGCTCATGGCCGAGGACGCGCAGGAGCTCTTCACCTTCTACGTGAGTGCCCTTCCCCGGGGTGAGGGGTCACACCTGTCCCCTCTACAGGGGGACACAGGGCTGGTGGGGGGTGGTCCCTGTGCTAATCCCATCCCACATCCCTGATCATCCTCTCCCATCCCTGAGCAGGAGGTTGACCAGCACCTGGCCATCCACAGCATCTGCCGCACCAACACGCCTCCCCAGTGGCTGCAGCGACCCGTGAAGGGGCCCTGTGGGCTCAGGAGGCTGTGGGAGCCCATGGTCCACATGGACCAGGCACTGCAGGACATCATCCGGCACCAGCGTGACCTCAGACCCCCCGGGGCCGAAATCTTTCGCCGCCTGAACAACACCCGCCGGCACGTACGGGGGCTCCTCAACAACCTGGCTGGGCTCTTCCCTGCCCTCAGCCCCCACCACCAGCCCCCCCCCCAGCCCCAAGGAACGCACCAACATCTTCAAGCAGAAGCTGCAGGGGTGCCAGATCCTCTGGAGCTATGCCCGTTTCATGGCCGAGTACAGTGCCCAGCTGGAGACCAGGAGCAGTCGGACGTGCCGGGAGAAGCGGAGATCCCAGCGGGGCTCACGGACACCTGTGCTCTCCTAGGGCAGCCCCACCGGCACTGGAGTTGTCCTTGTCTGCATCTCCATCGTCTCCATCATATCTCATCCCATCTCAACCCCATGCTGGCAGGGAGATGTCTCGGCTGGCCGGGATGCACTGCAGAGCCCCTCTCACCTCACCGTGGAGCGAAGACACAAGTGCATCCAGAGCATCTCTGGTCACTTTGCATTGCCATGGGGACCCCGCTGTCCCCATGCCACCCCCCGGCTGCAGGACAGCCCTGCTCTGCTCCTCCCAGCTCCCCCACATCTTGACCCTGGAGCCAGGTGTCCCCTGGGTGCCCAACCATCCCCTGTCACTGAGCCCTGCCGGATTTTCCAGTGATTCAATGGGTCGGGTGACCTGGCCTGACTAAGAGCCACTCGGCCCACGAAGAGCGCTGCTGCCACCAGGGAGTGTCACCAGTGTTGTCACCCCCTGCCTGCCCTGCACCGGATCTGTTGGCCCCAGAGAGCGGCTGGGAGAGGAATCCTGTGAGCTTGGTGTTCTTCTGAGCTTGGTGTCCCTGTAAGCTCACTGTCCCTCTGAGCTCAGTGTCCCTCTGAGCTTGGTATCCCCACAAGTTTGGTGTCCCTGTGAGCTCAGTGCCCTGCACACTTGGTGTCCCTTTGTGCTTGATGTCCCTACAAGCTCAGTGTCCCTTTGCACATCCCTGTCCTCGCCCCTGCACGCTCAGTGTCCCCAGGCCCTCAGCATCCCTGTGCTCTCAGTGTCCCCTGTACTCGGTGTCCCCGTACTCAGTCTTGCACACTTGGTGCTCCCACACCCTCAGCATCCCTGTCCCCTCAGTGTCCCCCCAGGCTGTGACACCACA